TATGGGTCAGACCTTGAATGGAACTTGCATTAGTCTTGCACAAGGTGGAAGGATGCAGCCCAAGTGACAAGAGCACGTGGTGGAGGGAAAAAGTTGAGTTGAAAGAAAAAGTAACCCTCGGGGTGAGAGACAAAGTAGTCCCTGGGGTAAGTAGCCGAGGGACGGGGTGAAGTGGGGGGAAGAGGGTGAGGGAGGGACAAGGATTATCAGGTAGCAGCAGTCGTCACAACTTGGCTATAATCCTCTTGACACACCTCTCACCCCGCACAATATTAGCGCGTGCCTCATCTCTCACACCCTTACCCTTCCCTCTCTCAATCCTTTCCCTACTCTCCAGGATCCCTCATACCTCTACACCCCAGGATCCATCACCTCTACACCCCAGGATCCCTCACACCTCTACACCCCAGGATCCATCACCTCTACACCCCAGGATCCCTCACCTCCCTACACTTTAGGATCCCTTACCTCTACATCCCAGGTAGAGGTGTAGAGAGGTGAAATATATATTCAGTGTGTGTGTACTCACCTATTTGTGCTTGCGAGGGTTGAGCTCTGGCTCTGGTCCCGCCTGTCAACCGTCAAACAACAGGTGTACAGGTTCCTGAGCCTATTGGGCTCTATCATATCTTCACTTGAAACTGTGTATGGAGTCAGACTCCACCACATCACTGCCTAATGCATTCCATTTGTCAACCACTCTGACACTAAAAAAGTTCTTTCTAATATCTCTGTGGCTCACTTGAGCACTCAGTTTCCACCTGTGTCCCCTTGAATTGTGTGTGTGTGTGTAAATGACGAAAATTAACACGTGATGAAAAATGTGTGTATATATATATATATATATATATATATATATATATATATATATATATATATATATATATATATATATATATATATATATATATATATGTCGTACCTAATAGCCAGAACGCACTTCTCAGCCTACTATTCAAGGCCCGATTTGCCTAATAAGCCAAGTTTCATGAATTAATGTTTTTTCGTCTACCTAACCTACCTAACCTAACCTAACCTAGCTTTTTTGGCTACCTAACCTAACCTTACCTATAAATATAGGTTAGGTTAGGTTAGGTAGGGTTGGTTAGGTTCGGTCATATATCTACGTTAATTTTAAATCCAATAAAAAAAAATTGACCTCATACATAGAGAAAAGGGTTGCTTTATCATTTCATAAGAAAAAAATTATAGTAAATATATTAATTCAGGAAAACTTGGCTTATTAGGCAAATCGGGCCTTGAATAGTAGGCTGAGAAGTGAGTTCTGGCTACTAGGTACGACATATATATATATATATATATATATATATATATATATATATATATATATATATATATATATATATATATATATATATATATATATATATATATTCAAAAAGGCTGATTTAGTGAGGACCTCGCCTTGTTACCTTGTGATGGTTTCGGGGCTTAGCGTCCCCGCGGCTAAACCTAACAACTAACTATTAATGAAAATACATTAACTATGCTAAAAGGAAACCAATTGGTACATTAGCTAAATTAATCATTTGCAACTTTTTAAGAATTATTGTTGTTCATTTGTCTTCAGGAACGGTGCCTTAAAGTCTTAATGAAAAAGTGTTTGTTAAAGTGCATTATAGATGCAAATATTACGACGCAGCAATATTGTCTCAATTGCATTCACAATTGAGTAGTTTAGTTATTACATGTAAACAGCTATTTTTCCGTGATTATTTCCGTTCTTGGTGGTGGTGGTTTACGGTGATGGTTATCTTGAGATGTCTTCGGGGCTTACCGTCCCCACGGCCCGGTCCTCGACCAGGCCCCCTTTTTGTTACACACCCCCAGCAAGCAGCCCGTAGCAACTGTCTAACTCCCAGATACCTATTTACTGCTAAGTGAACATGTGCATCAGGGGTGAAAGAAAGTCTGCCTATTTGTTTCAGCCCCCACCAGGGATCGAACCTCAGGACTACGAATCCGAAGCGCTGACTACTCAGCTGGTGAGTGGTGGTGGTTTTGGTTGATGGTAGTGGTTGTGGTGGCAGCAGTGGCACCAATAGCGAAGTACACAAGCTCGACGCTGCTGGAGGCAGCTATATGCTGAAGCAACAACACGGAAGACCACGACCCCTGAAGTTGCTGGCGCGGTGCGCGAGCTGCCAACCGTACCCAACCGCGAATAACCGCATTATTAGCGATAAATATATCAGCGTATCCTATTAAGCCAGTTCACCAGCGAAGGATGATAAGAGGTCAAGTGAAAAGGTCAGGGCGTAGACAGGTTTTATGTATTTATATACATAATTGCCTTCATAATATATGTGTGGTCAGAGCTATGTATGTAATAGCTCCATGCATAGTGCTATTAAATCTGTCCCGTGGAATAGAAACGGGCGAAAGGAACAGAAAGAGGGAAGGATCAGTTGAGTGTAGAAGGTTACCGTGAAAGGCATGTCCTAGGAGCAAGATAACCAGTGTATGAATGGTCTCTGATGTTCCTTGCATGAATGGTCTGTGTTCAGAGTATGAATGTAGATTTAATAGCAGCCATCCATATGAAGGTTATCATCTCTCTCCGATGTTCCGAACCAATAGTCTGATGGATCTGAAGCTCTCCTAATAATTTAGGTATTTGAGTGAATAGATTTAGCAAGTAAATATTCTATGCATATTCTCCGGGGCAGGGATTCATAAAGCATTTACGTGTCCACTTGCGAAACCTGTACATCTTTCATCAATCATGGCGACCTAGTTTGCTTTTATTACCAAAAAGATGAGCTACGAGGTTGTTTATACAAATAATCTTGGGTCGAGAACGACCTCATAGCGTTTCCAAACTCATAAACTAATGGGAGATTAAGCCACGATTACCGAGGAAAGATGCACAGGTTTCGTAAGTGCTCACGCTTAATGAATCCTAAACCAGGTCAGTACTGTCGCGAGACTTAAATATGAGAGTGAATGTGTAGCATTATTCCAATCAAAAGAGTACAAGTGCTTTATTGAGTGTTATCATTTGCCTGTTTGACAAGTTCTTCTTATCCAGCCTATCGCTTATGTTTGCAGGTGTGACAGGTGCTTTAGTGTCCCTTTTAAAGACGTGAGGTATTCCGTTTTTTCAGTAAAGAAGATGGAGAGGTGCAGGTGAAGGCAAACTTTTTAGAAATAGGAAATATAGTGTTTACCGTCGTGGTGGGTCGTATGATGCAGTGTTTACCGTCGTGGTGGGTCGTATGATGAACTGTTTACTGTCGTGGAGGGTCGTATGATGCAGTGTTTACCGTCGTGGAGGGTCGTATGATGCAGTGTTTACCGTCGTGGAGGGTCGTATGATGCAGTGTTTACCGTCGTGGAGGGTCGTATGATGCAGTGTTTACCGTCGTGGAGGCTCGTATGATGCAGTGTTTACCGTCGTGGAGGGTCGTATGATGCAGTGTTTACCGTCGTGGAGGGTCGTATGATGCAGTGTTTACCGTCGTGGAGGGTCGTATGATGAACTGTTTACCGTCGTGGAGGGTAGTATGATGCAGTGTTTACCGTCGTGGAGGGTCGTATGATGAACTGTTTACCGTCGTGGAGGGTAGTATGATGCAGTGTTTACCGTCGTGGAGGGTCGTATGATGCAGTGTTTACCGTCGTGGAGGGTCGTATGATGCAGTGATTACCGTCGTGGAGGGTCATATGATGAACTGTTTACGATGAACTGTTGTATGATGAACTGTCATGGTTTATTATTTCCATACATAAACACACTTATGTATTCCTTTCTCTTAACTGCAACTTTGTAAAAAAGTTAGTTTAATTCATTTATTATAAACCCCATACCCATCTTGTGGGCGGTAGTGGAAAGGATTACAGAAGCACATAATGGGGCTCAGGGACTGAACCCAATAATTCATTTAGCTAAGCAAGTTACAATCTTGATTAGCTAGTTACTAATGCAACTGTTTTCACTAACCAAAAACGTATGAATTCAAGCCGATTCGAGGCCCATTCGTGTAGAAAACGTCAGCATTTCTTAATTTTTTGTTATTAATGTGACGCATTTTTTTAAATACTGGTCGAATACGTGAAAAATGTGACGTATTGTGTGAGGGCCAACCCCAGAAGCCCGTGCCAACACTGGCAACACATAGCCTGGACTCCCCACCCCCCACATCCTCTGTTCCCAACAAGTCAGTGCCCACACTGTTCTCCCTTTGCCTACCTCCTCCCTCCCCCCCCCCCACACACACACACTCCAACAAGTATTTTTTACAAAATAAAACAAACAATAGAATGTCAGCAAATTTATTTTAGCTTAACTTTTTCTGAAATACTAGGTTATAATTGCTCCCTTCTGTGATATTGGCCATTATATATATAATGATATAGACATTTATAAAGTGGGATATAATTTCGTTATGTGAACGTGCATTCAGAACTTTTAGGAGTTTCTCAGGGGTGAAGTTCATGATTTCCACCTAAGTGGAGAATATTTAAGAGAAAAGACCATTATTCTTGGCTTGCATGTCCACAGCTGGAGTACTTATGCCTTTGTGACATACCTTTCTAACTACAGAGCTTGGAAAAAAATAGCATTCCCCCATTTCTTTGGTTATCCGAGAAGACATAAACTCTAGTTTAAATCAATAGTCATTTGGGTTTACGAGTATATAGGTAGAGAAATGTATAGAGCTGTATGATTAGAGGGACAGCGCGGCATTCTCCACCAACGGCAGCTCCGACTCGACTAACTTTTGCTGAGAACTTCAGAGTACATCTCACAGTGGCTGCCGCGCAGCCGGGCGTACGAGCACGCATATCTCCCTGTGAAAAGTATCACAAATAAGAATATTAAAGTTGATCAATACATCTGTGTTTATGTAAATTGCACTCAAACAGATACTAATATCAATCTTAATTTACCAAATTACCTTTAGTTAGTAAAATATTAGGAGAATTCAATGCTTGACCTGAACATCTGCGACGGGTTGAGTGTATGACAACGCGTGGAACGGCAGTGTTCATCTGACTGTGGAGAGGGGAGTGTGGCGCCCGTCCCGCCGGCACCTCAACACTAGCCCTCCACCACGTGTAGTCACATACTACGCAAAGTTCACACTTGGCGTAAAATTTTGTGAAGTTCACTGCGCCCTAACTGAGTGCTGATTGGTCCGCAATATAAACCAGGTGCTGTTGAAGACCATAAACTGAAAATACTTAGTGTTATTTTTTTGTAACTATGGTGTTTTAAGTGTTAATGAAGCGTATCTCGGATTGTTAGGACGATACGTTATAGAAATATTTAGTGAACTATATCGTGGATTATACTCGCAGCCACCACCTCCCAGCGATTGTACTGCTGCTGCTCCATGCTGTAAGTACCTGCCCCAAGCCTCATAACACTCCCCCTAACATGCGTGTGTCTGTGATATATATATATATATATATATATATATATATATATATATATATATATATATATATATATATATATATATATATATATATATATATATATATATATATATATATATATATATAAACCTTCCTCCACTAGAGCAACGAATGAACATTGTGTGTTGATCTGTAAGTCTTAAAATTTAGTTTAAAGTTAAGTCATTGACTAATTCAGCCTTTTAGAGAGGACAAGCGAGAAAGAATACTGACACCAGGAAGAAGTGTTTTAAAACTTTAGAGAATTGAAAAATGTTTTCGGTTTTTTTTTTCACTCTGACGTTTTATTTAATTTGTTCTTATGCCGGTATTTTTGACAGTCATTCCTATTCATGTTTGTGTTGTTTGTCAGTTTTATTCGGCAGAATATTGGTGTTTATTTTCGCAGGTGAAGTCAATTTATGGGAGAATCGTGTTTGGCGAAGTTGCCAGGTAAAAATGTTTTGTAGTGTCTTTTTTTATTTATTTTTTCCCCATTGGAGAAAATGTTGTCATTAAATAAAGGATCATCTTCGGATAGAAGGCGAAGTTATATTTCTGAGGCATCATATATACGCAAGACTCAAATCAGCTAAGAAGTCATTATTTTTCTATACATTCGTCTGGAGAGGTGTGGTGGGGGTGGTCAGGAGAGGGGGAGGTGTGGTGGGGATGGCCAGGAATGGTGTGGTGGGGATGGCCAGGAGTGGTGTGGTGGGGATGGCCAGGAGTGGTGTGGTGGGGATGGCCAGGAGTGGTGTGGTGGGGATGGCCAGGAGTGGTGTGGTGTGGATGACCAGGAGTGGTGTGGTGGGGATGGCCAGGAGTGGTGTGGTGGGGATGGCCAGGAATGGTGTGGTGGGGATAGCAAGGAGTGGTGTGGTGGGGATGGCCAGGAATGGTGTGGTGGGGATAGCAAGGAGTGGTGTGGTGGGGATGGCCAGGAGTGGTGTGGTGGGGATAGCAAGGAGTGGTGTGGTGGGGATGGCCACGAATGGTGTGGTGGGGATGGCCAGGAGTGGTGTGGTGGGGATAGCAAGGAGTGGTGTGGTGGGGATGGCCAGGAATGGTGTGGTGGGGATGGCCAGGAATGGTGTGGTGAGGATCCAGGAATGGTGTGGTGGGGATGGCCAGGAGTGGTGTTGTGGGGATGGCCAGGAGTGGTGTGGTGGGGATGGCCAGGAATGGTGTGGTGGGGATAGCAAGGAGTGGTGTGGTGGGGATGGCCACGAATGGTGTGGTGGGGATGGCCAGGAGTGGTGTGGTGGGGATAGCAAGGAGTGGTGTGGTGGGGATGGCCAGGAATGGTGTGGTGGGGATGGCCAGGAGTGGTGTGGTGGGGATGGCCAGGAGTGGTGTGGTGGGGATAGCAAGGAGTGGTGTGGTGGGGATTGCCAGGAATGGTGTGGTGGGGATAACAAGGAGTGGTGTGGTGGGGATGGCCAGGAATGGTGTGGTGGGGATGGCCAGGAATGGTGTGGTGAGGATCCAGGAATGGTGTGGTGGGGATGGCCAGGAGAGGGGTGTGGTGTGGATGGCCAGGAGAGGGGTGTGGTGGGGATGGCCAGGAGAGGGGTGTGGTGGGGATGGCCAGGAGAGGGGTGTGGTGGGGATGGCCAGGAGAGGGGTGTGGTGGGGATGGCCAGGAGAGGGGTGTGGTGGGGATGGCCAGGAGAGGGGTGTGGTGGGGGGAGGACAGTTAGCGTGTCTGGGGTGAGGAGCGAGGCGTCGGCTAGACTCCGACCATTCTGTGTAGCAATAATAGTTACAGTTTTTAGTTTATAGATATCCCGTTTTTAAAGTTTCTTTTGTGTTTATGTGTCCTCACCGCTCATTATAGTTAGTGTTTGTAAGCCAAGTGTTTAATAGTTCCTTATGTCACATAAATTTACCTCCTTGGCTTATAATAAAGAATGTTGGCTGTAATTTAATTACTTAGCTATTGCATTTTTTAAATATTTGCTCTAGTGAACCCAGTTTTTGTTTTCTTCGTGGATTGATAATATACTCAACTATCAACAGTTTTTCTTAAATATAATAAGCATTTAGTTGAACAATTTTTGCTTAGTTTTTTGTGTGCTTTCTCTCCGAGCTGATTCATAGCAGAATTTGATCCAATTTTCGGCGTAGTTATCTAATTTAAGTTTTGAAGACACTTTATACTTCTCGGCGTACAAGAGGTCGTAAGTTCCCACTTGAGATGATGTAGTGAGGAGGCAAGCATAAGTAGATCTGGTTGAGTTGATTTTCTGGTGGAGTGTTCGCAATAACACCCACCAGCATACTTGTGGGTATATCGCAGTTACTTGCTTCCTTGGTTATACTGTTTGATAGGCTCGGCGTCACTGTCTCTGAATTCTACGGTTTGTCGGGTCTTATGCAGCTCTGTCATACGGCTCTCGTGGCTTCGTGCATCCCGGGTTTGATTCCTGAGCGGGAAAGAAATAGCTGGGCACATTTCTTTTCACCTGATGCCTCTGTTCACCTAGCAGTAAATAGATACCAGGGAATTAGGCAGATGCTGTGGTGTTTTCTCATTCTGTGGTGACCCTCTCATTCTGGAGAGGGTCAGTGGTTCCACCTTAGGGAGAACCTCGATAGTATATACGTATACATAAGGCTTCCTGTCCCCGACAAAACGAAGTGTGGTCAAGATTCCTTTGCATTTTAGAGATTTGTCTATATGTTATTTTGTTGGGGTTAGTGATGTTATGAGTTGATGTATGATTATAATGAGTTGAATTACCAGTTGTTGTTAAAATAGTTTATGATACATTTACAACCCAAGTATCTGCACGATGTTCATGATGAAATCTTGAACAGAAACAAACATATGTTTCCTGTTTGACCTTAGAGGCAACACTGAACTTGATGCCTTTGAAGGAGGAGCAAGGAGGAGGACCTGAAGTGAGTGAGTCATGCAGAAGCAAGCATGGTAATAGTGGTCCCCTTAAGCCACACCTAGATCCTTGGCGAACCCAGTCACTTACTCGCACGCTCTAACTTAACTCATTTGGCATTGGCAATGGAGCGGAGCAGCTCGTTGGAAGTGTGCAACCCGACTAGACTGCTCAGTTAATAATGCAGGGTTTATCCTCGCTGACTGAAAAAGTTTGGTGGGGTTGGGGGGAATGTTTGGTGGGGTGGGTGGGGAAAATGTCCATGTAAATCCGTCCTTTCGTCCGTAGACGGTACTGTCGCGGGTCTGGGGGATTAGCCAGTCCCTGACTGCTACGGTCATGGTAACAAAAGCTTCAGCTGAATGGTCACGTGAAAATCGTTATGACTGCGCTTGTATGATCAAATTCAAGTTAGAATATACAGAATCTTTGGTAATATAGGAGTTGGGACACAGTTATTGATCCTAAATCAAATCACAAGAGACTAGTGATGATGCTGTACACCATTTTTCCGCCAGGCAGGTTTGCTAGTTAGCTAGCACGCCAGTTTAGGCTAATCCGGTGGAATTACTTCTCACTTCTTCGGTAGACCTATAGAGAGAAGGTCGTTACTCTCCCTATCTTCCCCTTCTGTTGTTTGGCGGGTTTGTGAAGTTGCGGATGGGGAGAGGGGGGGGAGGGGGTTTCATGGATTTTTTTCATTTCCAATACAATAGGAAACTGCCGGCCGTGAGAAAATTAGAACAATTTAGGCTACGGTGCCGGTTAATAGTGTTTGTGTATTGGTTTAAACGTATTATTAACCTTATTATTATTATTACTATTCTTGCATAAATCATGGTAATAATTACTGTTAGGTAATACGATAGTTGTATGGCGATGGGATCTTAAATGTATAAGATCGACTTACCAGGAATTGAGCAGATGCATCTCTTGGTCAGATGACCCAACGGCTGGTCCATATATCAACCGTTAGGTTAGCTCTACAGGATTTTTTGGGGTAGCCGTTGACACATATCTGACACTCTTTTATCATCTAACTTTTCTCTATATTGCCCAAGAAATGTAAAAATACTCATCAAATGTCTTTTTTTTTGAGCACTGAAGCTTTTGGCTTTAGCGAATATCAGTGAATAAGCGGTGTTCCCAAGGGAGGTAACAGGAAGCCGCGGACACCATAAGTCGATAATCGATTTCACTAACATCCCATATCATGATCTCTGGGACAGTCTCAGTATGTAGACTCACAGCACATAAATTATTATAGTACTGTATATACATAATCCAGATGAGGCTCGATGGTTTACAAGGTGACGAGCGTGTTTAGCGTGTGGATTACACAAGATGAGAGAAGCATTTTTTTATAAATTTTCTTATGTATGAAAGTGAAGGAGGATTCTGACGAAGTTGAGAGAATGTTGCAGCTTATTGCCAATGTGATCATAGCTCATTAAAACCACATTATAGAATGAGAGGTAAAACAAGATGGATTTTAACATTTCTATCTACCCTAGCACAACCCAGAGTGAAGGGTTGCTGAAATCATTCCCGACGTATACAGTATTGTTCCTCGTGACCCGTGGCCGGTTCCTCCACCTATCTAACATCTAATATCTTTACATACACAAGTATGAAAACAGCATAATCTGGTTATAAGAATGTAAACCAACTCTTCCAGCTGGCCAAAAACCATACTACCATCTATATCTGGAACAAGCAGGACCGGGGTCTGATAGCTGAGTGGACAGCGCTTCGGATTCATAGTCCTGAGGTTCCGGGTTCGATCCCGGTGGAGGCTGAAACAAATGGGAAGACTTTCTTTCACTCTGATGCCCCTGTTACCTAGCAGTAAATAGGTACCTGGGAGTTAGACCGCTGCTACAGGCTGCTTCCTGGGGGTATGTAACAAAAAGGAGGCCTGGTCGAGGACCGGACCGCGGGGACGCTAAGCCCCGAAATCATCTCAAGATAACCTTAAGATAACCTCAAAGACACATCAGATCATACCATAGAACTGATGAAGCAGCCCGTTTTCTTAATT